GATTATTGAGCATTCTATAGTTTTAGAAGATGAGTATCATGGCGTAGACTAGCGTATTTTTTAAGAGGAAGCGGTCAGTGTACATGTGTGTTTTGTAATGTTAATAATAGTATATTTTTATTTTTAGAATGTATTGGGTTAAAGGTTATGAGGATTAGTTTGGGCGAAGTCATGGAGTCTTTGGTATTCTTGGACCATTTCTTGGTCTGTTTTGAAGGCTGCTGAGTCGAGGTGAGATATCTCTACATTATCCCAAGTTGAACATCTACTGAGAGTGACATAGGCTTGACCGGAGGAGAAAATTGAAGTATCTAGGGCGAGGGATACTTTTGATAGGGTCAGACTTTGGGTTTGTGAACGGTGAGAGCAAAAGAATTTTGGAGGGAAATTGGGTACAGTGGCAATTATTTCCATATAGTTGAAAGTAATGTATCTGTTTGTAAATGGTTGTATCGATCAAGGAACCTCTAATCGAAAAGGCAACTTGAACGGATTGGTTTTCAAGGTCAAAGTTAGTAATAATTCCTGTGATACTGTTGCATATACCTTGATATTTGTTAGATGGATCGTGACAGACTTTTAACCAAAATGAGTTTGGTTCCTTCTCTCCAAGATATTCGTCTAAGCAGAAATCTAGGATGGACTGTCCGTTTTCATTTCTGACAATATCGGTAGTGATATCAGAAGCCATCACATCTATTTCAGTTTTGGGTAAATTGTCGTATTTCAATTTGAGGCGTTTAATTGAAGTCGCGTTAACCTTGGATGAAGGAGTATAGGTTAGTTTTTTTTTCCGATTTGGAAAAGAAAAAAAGAGAAAAGAGGGTACCGAGTAATAGGCCGGACATCTGACAAATTTTCCTTTTAATTGACTACATCTCCAGTGTCGATTTGGTCTATTTGGTGTGGAATGGAGGTGTTCAAAGGAACAAATACTTTTACTCGTAAGTAGGAGATTATAGTGGGATCTTCTTAGTTCATCCTCACAATCGCAGTAATTTCTATCATGGTAAAATCTCAGGTGGTTCTTTGGGAGAATTCGTAGATGTAGCAGAATGCGTTTAATTTAGCGGGCATGATTTTTATTTTTTTTATATTTTATAAAAGAAGATATTATTTTCGTTACTCTTTTACTTTTTTGTTCTTCGAAAAATTGGAAAAAAAAAGGATGAAATTTATGAGAAGTATTTTTTTTATTTTTTTATTTATTAATTTTATCATTGTATAAAAATCAAAAATGTAAAGAACAGGAAGTTCTGATCTTTTTTTTTTTATTTTGTTTATAATAAAATCGAATTTTTCTCTATTCGAAAAGAATTTTTTTTCCTATTTAGGGGATATCTCACATTTTTTTTTGGAGATTGTAGAGTTGTCTTATGAAAATCGGAATTGAAAATTTTTTTATCGTGAGATTTAGGAAGAAAACAGGTTTAAAATCAAAATATTTGGGTTATCAAAGTTATATGATCATTAAAAACCTGTTTTTTTTCGTTTAAAGAGAAAACTATTTATAAAGAGGTTATTCGTTAGAGAGGAGAGTGAGCGCTAATGTAAGAATCGTAAATGGATTCTAGATTCGTAAGATAATGCTCTAATCAGAGTCTAATCGGTAGAGAGGAGCGATTCAAGTAAAAAGTCAGGCAGTTTTTTTCCTAATGTGGATGAGACGATCGAACCAAAAAAGAATATAGAGTGCAAGTGTTTTAACGATCTTTATTCGAGAACTTTGCGGGTCAGTAAAAGAAATAAATATAAAAAAAAAAAAGAAAATAATCAAGCAATACGACGATTATCTATAACACATGATTTCTCAATAAGGAAAAAAATACGGTCTCTTTTCTATTCTATGATAATTAGATAAATACTGTATAACGTTTAACGAATTAAAGTTTATTTAACACAGCATATATAAATGATCCTTTTATA